AGACTGTTCACAGCAAGGAGGTCTGGGAATCTCAGTGTCATGGGGTGTCAGAGCTGTTGCTATGGTGACTCGGTGTCTGGCTGACCTTGAGGATGGTGAATATCCCCAAAACTCAGTTTCCAGGCTTGTGCTACCTCCTGTCCATCTGATTCCAGATAGGATAGTTATTCAGAGCTCATTTTGGACAGAAGCCAAGTTCTGTACCTGCTATTAATATATATAATACTTAATAGCAATAATGATGATGGTTCAAGAAACTTTGAGAGAATTCAAATGAGCGCAGCCAGGACTTTGGACTATTCCCTACACAGCACCCAGATGTACCCTGATAGAACATGTCACTCCTCTGATTCAAACCCTCCAGTGGCTCATCATATCTCTTGGAGTAAAAACCAGAGTCCTTACATTGGTTCATAAGATCCAACATCACTCCCCCCCCCACCAGCTACGCTTGCCTGATCCTGTCCCTCAGGGTCATCAGGAATGTTCTGCCTCAGGCCCTTTGCACCTTCTGCTTCCTGTGCCTTGGATGCCACCAGTGGCTCCCTTCCTCACCTCCAAGTCTTCACTCCATCCCCTCCCCTTTGGAAACTCACCCCAGCCCCCTTCCCAGGTTTGTTTCCTTCCTGAGCTGTTATCTAACCCCCTGTCTCCCCTAACAGAATGTGCATTACATGAGGGCTTTTTAATGAAAAAATTCTTGCTTACTGCAGTCAGTCAATGGCAGGATATATACCTAAGAAATAAGTAAGACAAGGCAAACGTGCAATTTAAAGATCTCTCTCTCTTTGGAAATAGGACAGTATTTGAAGGAGACCATTTATAAGCCATTATGTAGTTACTATAAAGGATGTTTTGTAATTATGGTAAAAAAAAAATGTTCAATCACTTTTACTTAGCCCAGGAAGTAATATCATAATCTCACATCTTGGTTTTATAGGCTCAGATGAGATCTGACCTATACATTTCCTCTGCGTGTTACCTTACGATTCATTCAGTCAAGGAAGAGAGGAGAGCAGTGAAGGGCCGCTATAGAGTAATTGCCCTGGGTTTCAGAACAACCACATTGGAGAATAAGTGCCGAGAAATGAACTGTGGTGGCTGCGATGGCTTTAATAAAAACGAGAACTGAATCATTGATGGGTTCTGGGTCAGTCTCAGATGTGGCATCCAAAGGCCTGGGGGCAAGCCCTGTCTCTGCTACTTACTGGGCATGTCCCTAGGGGCCAATCCCAGTGCCCAGAATAGTACCCAGTGCCCACAAAGTAGGTGCTCAGTGAAGAAGACGCCGGAGTTGGCAGTGCACCCACAGAGGCACTGGGAGCAAAGACCCCTCTTTGCAAAAATAGATTGCAATGGGTCCTCCCTAAGTGTTGCTGGCTGATGAGATAAACCCAGGCAAGATAAGGTTTGCACACATTATAGTTCAGGAAATGCTTCCCGTGTCCAGTAATATTACAGAACCACACACCACCAAGACAGGGCCATATATAGGAGCTGGCCCAGCTCCACTATGCCACACCACCGTTAAGCCAGTTTGGACCCAAAGCTGGGGGTGCCAATTCTATTTGAGAACCTCAGGCTCTGCCTTCCAGCATAGTTGATAATTTGGGGGCTGGAGCCTCCATTCTGGCCTTTGAGTCAAGCAGTATCTTTTCAACGAACACTGACTGAGCGCCCCCTGGTGGACATAAAGCTGAACACCCCAGTCTGGTGAAAGTTACAGACTATTGCAATGCCCTGTGATGCCTGGGGTTAGGGCGGGG